TCCTTCCTTCCTTCCTTCCTTCCTTCCTTCCTTCCTTCCTTCCTTCCTTCCTTCCTTCCTTCCTGTCTGTGCAGGTACGAGTGAATAAACTTAAATTAAATTCAGTTTATTTCTATAGCGCCATTTCACAACACATGACATCTCAAGGCAATTTACAGTTCACCAGTTCAGTACAGTCAAATTGATTCAAAGTTTTCTTATAAAGAATGTTCATATTTGCAAATGTATGCATATGTTTTGGTTGCAGGTATATTAATTTGTCTGAAGGTTTGGGGTCATGTATGTATAAATATATGTGGTATATAGATCTTTTTATGTGCAGATACTTATGTTTGTGTATGGGATGTTGGTTATGGTGGTAGGGGCACATATATGCTGCTTTATTTAATGAGAAGACAGAATGCAACAATGAAAGAAAAGTGTATCTCATTCTTATACTTCTTATACTTCCTTATTGGTTATGTTGAACATTTAAGTATTGTTTATTAATATTTAACTTAATTAAATTTGGTTTGGAAAATCAGCGTAGAAAAATAAAAAGCTTAAAATGAAAAATCAAAGAAGAAAACAAATTCCTGTTGTTCGATTCTGGTTTTCAGTATTTTAGCAACAAAATCTTTGGAAAATCAAGAAATACTAACAAAGTAAAGTGAAAGTTTTACAATGTAAAGCCATCACTTTGTTTTTTTTCCTACTCTTAAAAATACTATCTGTTTAATATCAGCCATAAAAGATTAACAACCTAATTGTAAAATATGGTTATAATACTTCAAAAAGCTTTAAACTGACTGTATAAAAAGATCAATGCTATAATTTGACTAATAGCCGGATCCATTACATTTGGTGAATATACTTTGATCAAGGGGAGTTTTACCAGTGAGCTGATGTGTCATTCAAACAGAAACGAGGCCTATTGTTAACCTGTAATTTCCTCTCTTTAGTTACCAAGGGAACTCCGAGGAAGTGGGTTGCTATGTGGCCGGCCGTCCTTTATCAAAGGGAAATTGCTACTTTGAGGTGAGGCACTTTGACGTGTTGTAACTGAGTTCTGGCTGAGCTGAAGGATGTGAAGAAATCACTTCATTTGTGTTTAATTCCCTGTAAGTCAAACAACGCTATGATGGGATTATTGAATGAAAACGTACTAGGTTATAATTCCTCCTAGTACGATGAACCACATTCCCTCAGCATCAACCCTGGTTGTGCCTAAGAACGCTTTTCCATCCAGCCAACCATTTACATTTTTCTCAAATTTCTGAGCTTTATATTAGATTATAATTCCCCTCCTCAGCAGCCTAAGCTCACTACTGTAAAGCCACTAAGCCAAATCAGCTATGGGATGTGGGCTAGAGAGAGATTTTGTGTTCTTCTGCAGGAAATAGTATTTCATGGTTTATTCGTAAAAAGAAAAATGTCCTGGTTAAATGCTCACTGACCATATCTAAAATGTTTGGATTTGAGTCTGTGAAAGCCTGAAATATTGCCAGGAAAAAACAAAATCATGTCAGGAACCCTGCATGGATCGACCTCCATTAACCTTTCTGAACGTCAAGTCAAGTCTACACGAAGTTTATGTTTAGCCCTGAAGCTGAAATCGGGTCTGTTACAGGCCCTGTAATGTTTAGGCAAGGAGACAGAGGCTGAAGCATTTTCCTTTTAAGAGGAAAAAAACTATCAACTATCACGGCCGTTTGGAAAACATCTCTTCTGGACCTAAAGGAGAAGTAAGGTTGGATCAAACAACATCACGGTTCTGCTCTTATGTCAGATGTACCCTTTATGTAGATAGAATGTATGTCAAGTTTCTCCCAAATGGTGTGCGACGGTCTCACGTTGAGCCTCACGGATCTCCCTGACATTTACAACAATTAGATTTTACCTGGGTCATAACCTAGCCGTTGTGCTACATTATTCTCCATTCTGTGACGCACATGCTGTCAGCCTCCAAGATATCGCTGAAATTTGGGAGCATTTCTTTTGCTAAAGGTCAGACTTCTGTCGACATATGCGTCACTGCTTCCCTCATTTCTCCTCGTTTTGCTTTCACAAGGAATCCATTTCAACACGATTGTCAGTGCTCTGTCATTTTTATTTTGTTTTTTTTTGTTTTTAGGTTTTCCAGGTTCTTCTGTTTTGATTCCTGCTGAACAGCTGCTCCGTTTCACTTTTTAATAGATTTTATTTGGTCTTAAAGGTCATCCCATTATAACCTAAAGGCTGAATCCTGCTCTGTTTGTGATTTATTTGAATGTTTTTGTGACTTTTATTTAAATCATGCAGACAATAGAAATGTTATGACAGGAACTGCTGAGTAAGTGCCAAACTGACATAAAGATGAGTAGTTAGAGAATTATAAAGGAAATTACTGATAGGAAAACTCTAAATTTTCATTTGTAATAATGATAATGTTTTAGTAAAGTTTTTTTTCTCTGCTTTGGATTAAATATTTGCCAAGATGTCAGTTGCACAGAAAATGACACTAAGCGTACTTGTTTAAATTAGGGTATTAAGGAAAGTGGCCGTCAAAATGCTCTGATCTCTTTCCATACTGTCGGGGGGGAAAAAATGTATGAGAAGCTTAAATAAAACCTATAAGATTCACCCAAGTCATACAGCTTAAAGGCAGAAAGGAAATGGTTTCCATCGAGAAAGTGATAAAAAAAAAGTCTCTTTTTATTACTACATTTTATAAATACAATATTTTTTATTACGCTTGATGTAAAACACCCAACATTTTGTCTGATTTGATGGTAGATAGAATGTCTTTATAAAAGCTGTATGTATATATCTGGTTTTATCCGTGCATAAACTATACTTCAGTGGAAACATCTTCTTTTTTCTGTGATGCTGCGCTTTGAGTGGAGTCCCTCATCCACGACATTTGAGCACAGAGCTGCCAGCGCTTGTAATCCTTACATCCTCCATCACCTTATCATCTTTATCAAGTGAAATGACAGAGACAGTTTTCCCATCTGGTTAACATCTCTTCAGTTCCACTCTGATGTTCTCTGCAGTGTGAGACGTGGCTCTGTTGTTCTTTCACTCCCGTCTGGAAAAATGCCTAAACTTTAGTTATCAAGAGACGATGGGATGACTTTGTCTGTTTAAACAGCTCTTAGCCAAATGAATGTTAGCCACACAAGCTCCTGCATCACAAGCAGCTGACATCAAACCTTAGAAAGTAGAGAAACTACAGGTGGGGAGACTTGTGCAGATAATATTCGTCATAAATGCATTGATCAGGACCTCTTTATGTAAAGTCCATTCATCCATCTTCTGTCAGGGGTGCTGGTGCCTATCTCCAGCTGCCTACTGGGTGAGAGGCAGGGTACACCCTGGACAGAACGCCAGTCCATCGCAGGGCAACACAGAGACAAGCAGGACAAACAACCATTCATGCACACACACACACCTAAGAGAATTTAGAGAAGCCAATTAACCTAACAGTGATGTTTTTTGGACTATGGGAGTAAGCTGGAGTACCCGGAGAGAACCCACACATGCTCAGGGAGAACATGCAAACTCCGTGCAGAAAGACCTTCTTGCTGAAAGGCACTGATAAAGTAACCTGACAACAGCCAGATGCATGTCTCACTCCGAGTGGAGCTGGGCGGAGCGAGACATGCATCTGGCTGTTGTCAGGTTACTGATAAAGCCCTCTTTATGTAAAGTAACAAACTTAAACAGCTTCTACATTAGGATGTTTTTTTTTACCGGATTCTTATTTATTTGAGACATCGATATAGGAGAAATATTGAAAGAAATATACATTCAGAGAGTCAGAAAAACAGTCCAAAAAAAACAGATGTTTTCTTATTGGTTTTACAGTGACTCCAAGATGCCGCTTTTTGCCATAGCTCTTTGTGTTTAAGTTAATGTTAGGCTCATTTCCAATATTAACTTATTTTTATATTTTTTCTTAAAGCTACAGTGTGTAATAATTACAGGGATATACAGTCAGAAATGTAATATATTATACATAACTATGTTATTTATCATCATCTACGAGCTCAGCCTCTTAACCTTAATATTTGCGTTGCCTTAGAATTTGTTATTTATAATTACATAGGAGCGGGTCTCGCAGCCATGGAGGCAGACATCTTTGCGCTACGGCAGCGCAGAGCCAACAAACTAGCGATTGCGAGATCGCCCATTACGCTCGAAAGTAACTATGGCAAGTTGAGAGAAATGAACTGAGACGGTACTGAACACACAGACTAATGAAATACTATCTGTAAAATTATCTATGTAAACAAACCTCATCACTTGAGAAGGTAGGTGATGCGGACGTTGTGGAAGACATTTTGTCCTGTAACGCTCGCTGTACTGTTGGGGGGGAGATGTTCATGTTGCTGCGGTCTGCAGTCTGGACGTTAGATGTCGCTGAAAATTACACACTGTAGCTTTAAGTCAAAAAAGTGCAATTAACTCCTACCAAAGTTTTTTTAAGAAGCTAATGCACCAAAGAAATGTATAGAACCTTTGACTTTTAACAAAGCTGTACAAATTCCTGTTTTATTCTTCAGCTTTAAGAGTAGAAGCCTGTTGCAATTCTAATGCATGCAAAATGTCTAAAATATGTAAATTCAATGAGAAGAAAGTGTGTTTTTTACACTTTGTATATAAATATCTGTTTTCAGATGAATACAAGCAAAGTTGAACAAGTATTTGTGGATTAAATAATATCTAACTAGTGCCAATGCTGTGGTGTTTTTTGTGTTTTTTTGTATGTATGTATATGTTTAGGTAACCATAGTGGACACAGGAGTAAGGGGAACCATTGCTGTGGGCTTAGTGCCTAAATTCTACAGGCTGGACCACCAGCCTGGCTGGCTGCCGTATTCTGTAGCTTACCATGCTGACAACGGCAAGTAAGTCCACCACAGTTTTTTTTATTTTTTTACCCAGCAGTGAACCATTTAGTTCCTGCATTAATTTAGATGAACTCATTTTCCTCCTGTACATTCTCAGATAAATTCTAGCCTTTATTACAGTAAGCAGAATGGATGTACTGATCAATATGAAGTGGGGCAGTTTAAGATTTATTCCCTTGTCTAAGGTGTTGTTTTTTTCTTCTACTGGGATTTTTTTTCTTTTTTTGTCTTCTGTTTGATCTTACAAAGACTAAACCTCCGGGAGCCACCAGGTGTTTCCAGTCTGACTTAGATGCATTAGTCGAGAGTTTAGCCAGATAATGCGATGTCTGCTGTTTGGCAGTCTTGGTGCAGAGCTTGTTTTTCTGACGCAGACAGCTGTAGGGTTTACAGCAGTTAAAACCAGATCCTTGTAATGATTTATGAGCAGTCTGTCCAGACGAGCTCAGAGGATATTGACTCACTCGTGATGGATCCTCCACATGCAATGCAAGATTATAGGAATACAGATGACAGAGTACCCCACTGTAGACCTAATTGTTAGAAAAAAAAAATCCAGCAGTCTGACTTTGAGCCCTCTATTATTTGTCTTTTTGTTTTGCAGAAAATGTACCATGTTCTTATTAGTGCTGTAGATAAAGAGTTGGATGCGCTTATCTACACTGTAATGGGTTGGATGCGGTTACGACAATGTTTGTCTTGCAGGTTGTATAATGGCAACCCTGTTGGAAAGCAGTTTGGCCCAAAATGTGCTCGCGGCGACCGCATCGGCTGTGGCATCCACTCAGAAAATACAGAAGCTGGTCTTACTACTGTTTTCTTCACCAAGAATGGCAGAGAGGTAAGTGTTTCTGCGCAGTGTTTAAAGCTTTACATCAATACATTAAAAGTTCATATTATATTATCTTGGACTGTTACATTAATAATCTTTAGAAGGAGATTAGTTTAATCTCTTTAACTTCTTTATGCAAATGCCTATTTTACTTTATTCCAGCTAACTAGATGTTACTACTAGATATAGTGACATTTGAAATATATTATAGGTTAACAAGCACCCAAATACTCTTATTTTGAAAGCCTTCCGTTGAGGTAAATATCCTTTGCTGTAATATTTTTATATTTGCTTCCCTTCAGTAAATCGACAGCCCTTCCTAGCAGTAATAAATGGACACCTTTTGTTACACATTTATTTGATCTTTTTAATTTATTTGGCATTTTTCAATATCTTTCTGCCCAGGTGGGTTCAGTCGAGGTTCCAGTGTCTTCAGAGGGCCTTTTCCCCGCTGTAGGCATGCACTCCATGGGAGAGGAGGTGAAGGTTGACCTGCAGGCGGAGTGGCTCTTAGAGGAGGATGATACTATGATGATGGTTGACAGCCATGAAGACGACTGGGGACGGCTTAATGACGTCAGAGTCAGCGGAACGGTAAGAAATAGAAAAAGCCCTTTGGTCGCACTTGGAAGGATAACCGTCATTTTATGAGATATATATTCAAACAGCAGTGACAGAACGGTGGTGGAAACAGACATCTGGTCTGTTCCTGTCAGTTTACAGACAATCAGTTTAGCTTTGAATAAAGAAAAAAAAAGACACTATAGAAAAGAAAACTTACTGCATATCTCAGTCTGTTTATTAGGGTTGGTGTCATTATTATTCTACATAACACCATTTTAAAGTGTGAACTGAAGTGCTTGTTAGTGAATGAATGTGAGAGGGACTGGATTAACTTATTCACTATAAAAGGACCAAATCAACTGTTTCATTATCCAAGGTTTAAGCTTTGAATCCCATAAAGAAACCTCGTTTCTCCTCTTAGTTTCTTGGATTTGGTCCTTTTTGGTACTGATCCTTATTTCACGGACCATAGGTGAGGGTCTGGATTGAAATGGACAAATAAAACAGCTGCTGCATTTTACATTTCCTTACTTCGATAAACTGGAGGGGTGTCTGCATTATAGCAAAAATAGCCAATATTTGTTCCTGCTTACTTTCTCTGTTTCTGGGCCTGAGGCACCATCATCCTTATAACTCCTCTGCTCTAAGTCAAGATTTACCACCAATTTGGACGCAATTCACCTCCATCAAGAGCAGACTTATTTGAAAACTTTTAGCTTTCTATTATCACGTTGATTTGCTCAGATCAGATGTTTCTAAATCGCTCTAGCAAAACCAGCTTAAATATGTCAGTTTGGACAAATCTCAGTTTTTGTTTGGCGTTGATTATCATGAAAACTATGCATAGTTTGGATCTGATGGTTCATATATATTTCTTTGATGGAATGTGATACCCTGCATTCCTGGTATTCAGCATTTTTCTTCACCTTCTCTGCCTGAGAGGTCTAAAATGGACCATGTGGGGGTGCCAAAATCACCAAATCCAAAGTCAACTACAGGAAATTTTAATTACAGATTACAGTCTTATCTTTAAAGAGGCCTCAATAAGATCAGAGTTCTGCAGCAAACGTGTTAACCAAGATGCGCAGATGTTGATCCACAGAGATAACAGACCCTGTGCGTTCACACAGCATGCTCTCTGATTGCACCGTTGTATGGGTAACAGTGAGCACCATCTTTAACATGCGATCGTCTCTTCCAGATGCTGGGTTTTATTTCTCAGACTCAGCAGACAGGTGGACCCACTCTTACCGTCGTCCCTTTTAGTAACATATCTATGTCCCATTCCTTACTACTTAATCATGCGTTTGTGGGACAAAGTCATCCTTTGTGAGTCACATTAAGTCTTAAATCTTCCCATTCAAGACTCGAGCCAAGCCTGATATCTATAACCTTAAGTTAACCAGTCTTTGGAGCAAATATGTCATTTAATCACATCATTGTTGTTGGATTTTTAAAATGTTCTACATTCCGCTAAAGGAACCAGACTTTAGAAATTATTTCTGAAACAAATTATATTGCTAAGTCAGTTCAAGGAGAAAATATTGATGAAACTATGCTTAGACTTAGACAGACTTAGTTAAACTCTATTCTTATTTTGTAAACAGAGTGTATAAAGAAATTCAGTTTATACAGATTTTCGAATGTGAATGAGCAGCAGCTTAGCAGTGAAAAAGAACATTTCCATTCATAAAGTGCAGCAGTGATCAAATGTACACAGTGTGGGAGAGACATGGTGTAAAAAGGCATTGATGTGGAAGGTTCAGAGCAGTGCAAAAATATATCAATAGATATGGTGCAAAATGCAAAACTATTAAATGCATAACAAAAATGATCCCCCTTTGTTAAACTACTGCTTTTACAATAACAAACCAGTAATAATCAGACATTGTTAAAAAAGCTGTTATACCAATTCAATCTGATAGATACTGATTTCCATTTCATTTATCTCGTTTTAATAAAAAAAGATGCCAGTTGTGTACAATATGAAATACTTAAATACAATTTAATTAAAGTCTTGTTTTTTTTTGTTTAATTTTTCCATTCATTTTTAACTCTAGGAATGCAAAATACTGGTGTTGTTCTATTATTGAGCACATCGTTTTATTTGGCCTTTAGCTGAGAAAATAAAACCATAAATGATACTAATGACTTTTGGGAAATATGGTGGGACCGAGTCAGTGTTTTACCAATCAAAAGTACATCTCAAATTTTTATCCTGAAGCCCACAGTTTAGTTTTAAGCTTGAAACCTTGAGTTTCAAACCCTTTTGAGTCTTCTTTTTTATTTTTCACAAAATTGAATGATACATGTAAAGATTAGACTTCTTAAACCTATTTATATCAAAGCAGATTGAAAAAGGTGCAACCTATGTTAATAATAAGACGAGGTTAACTTAAGACAACTTCAAATGAGAAAGCTAAACGTTTTTCGGCCTGTGTTTGAGATTCCCGTTTTTTTACATATCTCCCCAAATTGCATTTTATTGGTCAAGTACTTTGTAGTTTGTGTACGCTGAAAGAAACTACTCTTGGCAGGATGATTTTAGTTTTTTTGTATATCTAATATCAATTCTTTTCAAGTAAACTGGTTTGATGCTCAATTTAAGTCCCGGGTCATTGTGTAAAAGTCTGAATCAAGTCACAAGTCTCTAAATAGGTTTTTTAAGTGAATTTTGAAGTCATAGATTTAATAGAGCATTTGATTTTGAGTCCAAGACATAAGAGTGGATTCGCCACATCTGATGTGTGATTATGAAACATATATAGGAAATATTAGTGCAGCAGTTTACTGTATTTTAGTTTTAATTTCATATGTTCATAGTTGTTTTCTTTTTGAAGATATCAAACAGCTTGGTGTACATGTTTATGTTTTCAGATTTGATATTTTTTGTGTAATGTGTTAATTCATAAGGTTACAATGAAAAAATATGTTTTTCAATTATTTATAGGTAAGCCTGTACTCTGAGAAGAACGATATGTCAGATTTTTGGTTGTGGTATGAAATTGTAAATCAGAATGATTAAAAACTGGCTAAAATCAGATTAAAGGACACATCTCTCTTCCCTGCTGCTGTGAACGTCTGTAGAAAAGTGAAGCTGATAAAGATTTGAATCTTTTTGGTTTGTTTTGCACTTTGGGAGCATGGAAACATTTTCCCCGTTTCGCTGTGTGTGTATGCAACACCTCTCCGACCCGTGTGGTTTCTATGGAATTACCGATCTGTCGTTTGGTTGCCGTAGGTAACTCACACCTCTTAAGCCCCTGCTGTGATTTCACCCACAGCGCCTCCTTTATGTTTGGTCAAAACAGTGGAAGAGTTTTTACACGTTTCTGTTTGGTGATCACTGTTCCGTATGATGGCCACCTTTTAGAAATCAAGAAACAGGGAACAGGTTGACAGAACAGAATGCCTATAAGATAAATAACACATCTCACTGGTATGCTTTTGATGGGTTTGCTGTCAAGTTCAAAAGCACATAAAAAACAAACAGTCAAGTAGAGATGGTAGGGACTTGTCTGCAGTTAAATCCCTCCTTTTGTGAATAGTTTACATTATGGTGCAGAGGGTAGACACTCTTGTTTAGATCCAAAATGTCCATCTTTCCCCAAACGCTTTGCTCCAATTATTCACCCACATGATATCCTACAGCTTTATTTTAATCGTACTGTAACAGACAGTTCTTATTTAGAATTAGTTTGGATCATAATTTTGTAATGAGATAAAAAAAATAAATAAATACCGGAAAATACCTACTGTGCGTGTGTTTTGAACTTTCTCTGTTGGAGGAAAACTTTTTAAGACATGGCTGAAGAAATGTCCTCCAAGCACATTGATTTGAAGAAATTATTTATTGTATCATTAAGAATTTGCTTAGATGCATGCTTGAAGTTGCACTCAAATGACTCTGCAGAAAAATCCTCATTTGTTTTTTTTTTTACCTCGTATTGTTTATATATTGTTAAATGCTTTCTTTAGCTTTGCAACACTGAGTTTATATGAAATGGCTCTTCTTCCATATTCTTTCATTATTTTTGTTTGCTGTGTGTCCAACTTAAAGGACTGTATCTTTGAGATGATCTGGTCTACATAAGCTGGACCAAACTTGCTAGAAATAAGCACCTGTGAAATTGAATGGTCTTGCCTTCAGTAGTTGGTATCACCCTCACCTTAGCTTTACAGTCGTAGTTTGGGGAACCATGACTAAAAAAGCACAGAACTTGCAATAAAAATGTTGCCAAAAGTTTTGCCTCCTTATTGAGTTTTGATTAATTAAATATTAGTTTATTCATTTCTTAATGTACTCCTCTACAGTAAGATATTCAAGATAAATAGGACTATTCCCTTTATTACGGTGGCCCTGAAGTCCAAACTGCAACTACAAATCTAAAAGCGCA